CAGGTCCTGTTAATGCCACCGTAGCAATGGACAAGCACACGAATTGGCCTCTTCTTGCCTCCACGCTTCCGACCACCTCCCTGAAGCTTCATCGCCTCCAACAAAGCAAGAGCATTACCGAGCTCACCAGGGAATGTCTCATCGGCCACCTTCAAGGCACTCTGCCTTCCATCGGCACTCTGCCTTCCTTCAGCGGCTCTTCCGAACAGGCTGCCCATGTCACTTCCCTTGCTGAAGCCCTTGTCATAGGAGCAGCCATAGCCAAATGAGCCCTTCGTCGATGCCTTCTGGCTTTGCATGTGATTGGAAACCTGACAGGGGCCGCTGTAGCCCTTGCTGATTGTCTTGCCCTTGCCCCTGCCGCCATTGGCCTTGCCCATCATTTTGCCCTTGATGGCACTCTGCCTTTGACTCTGGCTGAACTCCTCTGCTGAGCGCTGCCAGCACATCATAATCTTTCTGAAATCTGAAATGAGGCGGCGCCAAATGGTCTTGAACTCATGACTTCTTTGTTCAGCATCAAAGTCATTGGCATGTGTTTGATCCCAGCCACCATACCGAAGATGTGCAGTGCCAAACGGTCCACAATTCGCCAAATACTGATACCAGTCCCATGGCTCAAAATTCCGAGGTCTGTCATCTGCATTCATAGAGATGACAATGTCAGGCTTGACCCGGAGCTGGTCATATCGGATCGGGCAACCAATACTGCCAACAAACAGTTGCCACTGGGGATGGTCGTAAATCAAAACATCATCCATGGGCCACGTCTCGACATCATGCTGGCATGGCCGAGGTGGCGGGATCGACCCAGGCAGCACATCTGTCTGGCCGGTCCATGCTTTGTACAACTTCATATCCATATCTCCGAAATCTGAGATGGCCTCAACTGCCAATTTGATTCGTTGATCCAATTGTGCAGCCCTTTGGATCTTTCGGAGCCCGGTGGTATAGTCGGCAGCTGATCTGCCACAGTGTAAACAATTCCACCGAAGTTGTTGCACGGCTTCGTTCCAGTAATCACTGCCAAGGTCAATGTGATTGGCCTGATTCTGATGGTCAGCAGCAGAAGTCTGGCACTCTGCCTCGGAACTCCCTGAGCACCTTGAAACGGTCGTCGGCATCACTGCTTTCATCGAGCACCCAATTGTCCAACGATTAAAACATTAACAGTGACTAATGCATCACTATACAGTACATTAACCAATGATATGTAACATTGTGTTACTACTGTTACATCAGTATGAATGAATCACTTGATTATCTGGCCGGCAGATGTCGATCATGTATGGTGCAAGGCAACTCACTGACAGACTATGCAGGCAGGCAGGCAGGCAGCCAGCCTCGGAGACAGCAGGGTCCTGAGGACGTCACTGCCACCCGGCACTGTGTAGTCAGCATGTCATGCTGGGTAACCTTTTGGAATCCAAGTTGCGCACACTACCGCTGAGGTCTCCAATCGGACAGTCTAGCTCTGCTGGCTAGATCGTCGAATTCAAAATCCTCTAAGCACACGCAAACCCGGCACTCTGCCTTCCCCAACATCCGTAATGCGGTCTCGGAGGCTGTACAAACACGATGAATCACTGATTCATCATTGACGACAGAGCTTCGTCTCGCACGTCATTGTAATATAAAATTCCTGGCACTCTGCCTTCACTGTAATCCTGCATAAATCTCGGAAAGAGTACGTGCAGGATCATATCATTGATATGCCAGTCTACTTGCAAGACATGCCCACGCTCTTCAGAATTCAGAAAGAACCACAATGTCGAAAAGGACTCCTCTAGCAGCGCGTCGAAATAAATCACATAATCATCGTAGTCACTGTCCATGATCGAGGCCACAGTGCTTGCACGCTCATCGGCAACCAGAATCCAGTCCGAGTCCAGAGACTCACTGTCACTGCACGACATCGACGACATCTGCCGGCTTGCAGGGGGGCCTACTACGACTTAGACTAGAGACAGAGCAGGTCGTCGGCATCACTGCTTTCATCGAGCACACAATTGTCCAACGATTAAAACATTAACAGTGACTAATGCATCACTATATAGTACATTAATCAATGATATGTAACATTTTGTTACTACTGTTACATCAGTATGCATGAATCGCTTGATTCTCTGGCCGGCAGATGTCGATCATGTATGGTGCAAGTCAACTCACTGACAGACTATGCAGGCAGGCAGCCAGCCTCGGAGACAGCAGGGTCCTGAGGACATCACTGCCACCCGGCACTGTGTAGTCAGCATGTCATGCTGGGTAACCGTTTTGAATCCAAGTTGCGCACACTACCGCTGAGGTCTCAAATCGGACAGTCTAGCTCTGCTGGCTAGATCGTCGAATTCAAAATCCCCTAAACACACGCAAACCCGGCACTCTGCCTTCCCCAAGATCCGTGATACTGTCGCGGAGGCTGTACAAACACGACAAATCATTGATTCAGTGACGACAGCCATTCGTCTGTCACATTGAAATATAAAATTCCTGGCACTCTGCCTTGCCTAAAATCCCGCAAAAGTCTCGGAAACAGTACGAACATGATCTGTTCATTGATATGGAAGGCTGCTCGAAAGACTTGCCCACGCTCTTTAGAATCCAGAAACATCCACAATGTCGAAAAGGACTCCTCTAGCATCTCGTCGAACGGAATCACATAATCATCGTCGTCAGCACTGTCCGCGACCGAGCCCGCAGTACTTGCACCCTCATCGTCAACCAGAACCCAGTCCGAGCCCACAGACTCACTGTCACTCCACGACATCGACGACATCTGCCGGCTTGCAGGGGGGCCTACTACGACTTAGACTAGAGACAGAGCAGCTGTAACACGACTATAGTAGATTACGCAGGGCAACAGCGAGCACAACTGCTGCAGCGGCAAGTTGCGATACATGACACGCTCACTGACTATGCAAGGCAGCTTGTCCTCTGCGATGGCAGCATGTCCTCGGGATCCTCGTCATGAGCCTCGGTGCCAGGACTGTACCATAATAATGGAAGTAGCTGAAGCAAGCTGATGCTGAGATCCCAGCAGTTGGCATCCACTTCTCGATGGGCTGGAAGCCGATGAAGACCGATGGGAGAGAAGGAAATGGAAGAGAAGGCGTTCACTAGGCTTGGATTCAAACCGAACACTTAGACCTGGCCAACGGTGTGGGGAGCAACCCCGATGGGGCAGGGACTTAAGTAAGGCAACCTCGAGAGGCTCGACTGGCACTCTGCCTCTGTCGATCCAAGTCGCAAGGCTCCCTAACTAACGTGACAAGCATGGATGGCCTCCCCTCCTGGTTGGGAGAAAAATAAAAAAGCCACAACCACTGGACCACCCCACCCGGCACTTTAGCCCATGTGCCCGGGTGTCATATGCCACTGCCCTGGCACGTTGGCCCCAAGGCGGTCCAGGTACCATCGACAACACCTGACACCCGGCCAACGGTGTCCACGAACCGAGATGGGCAGTCGATCCGTGTGGGTAAGGTGGCACTCTGCCTCTGTCGATCCAAGTCGCAAGGCTCCCTAACTAACGTGACAAGCATGGATGGCCTCCCCTCCTGGTTGGGAGAACAAATCAAGCCGCAACCACTGGACCACCCCACCCGGCACTTTAGCCCATGTGCCCGGGTGTCATATGCCACTGCCCTGGCACGTTGGCCCCAAGGCGGTCCAGGTACCATCGACTCAGCACCTGACACCCGGCCAACGGTGTCCACGAACCGAGATGGGCAGTCGATCCGTGTGGGTAAGGGCAAGGTCTCAAGGCAAGTCAACATGTCACTACGGCCTCCCTTCTTTGTTCAATCACAACCCAAAACTATTTAAAAAGATTAAATTTTAAAAATTATTAACTTCAACAACAAATAAACAACAATTTTGTAGACATACAGCAGCAGGAAACCAGGTAGAACAACAGGAAGCCAATTGACTCACTCAGAAACAAAATTCACAAACATGTATTTTTTACACCAAAAATAAAATAAAAGAATTTTAACAACTGTAAAACACAAAAAAACCTATTTAAAAAACTTTTAAATACAAAACAATACTTTTAAATACAAAAAAACACTTTTAAACACAAATAAAGCCAACCACATACAAAAATGAGATTTTGGGTTCCTTTCATATAAGCCTTGTTGATCTAAACCCTGTGGTTCTGGTTCGGCGCAAAGGGTTAAGGATAAAACCTCAAACCCTAAACCTCCACCCCTGAAGCATAAACTCCCAAACCCCAAACCCTATAAGCCTTAAACCCTTAACCCCTAAACCCTGTACATAAACTCTCCGGGCTCTATCTCACAGGTAGGTGCAGGACATACCCTACATAGTCACGGTTTAGGGTTCAGGGTTTGGGGTTTAGGGCTAGCACCCATGTAGGTACTTAGGACCTATCTGGGCCCTATGCATCTTTATAGTAAGAATCCCCCGCAAAGGAACCCTGAAAGGAATCCAAAGCCTACAGCCTAAACCCCAAACCTAGAAAGTCTAAAATCCTTGAAATTCATGGGTACTTATGACACTTTGGCTACCAAGTGACACATCTTGATCCTCCTGTCGAACACGAAAGATATTTCTGACAGCAATGCTTCGTCTTCTTAGTTGCTGAGTTCTCAAACCCCCAACAGTGTATACTCTTGGCTTTATGGTGGGTGCTATGTATACCAGAAAGCGTAAAGTGTATCCACTCAGCTACTAAGTCTTGTTTTGCACCTTCGGGACCGAAATCCTCAGACCTAAGCCCTATACCTATATCCCTTATTGGGAATCATTTAAGAAGGTCTACTAGCCGCTCTGTTTATTCTTTTGGGGGAACCATGAAAAAGGACAAGGCTGTTCACCACGTTTTGCTAGCTCGGCCTTGCTGGCCGAGCTGATCCTTGCAATATAAGACACGTAATATACAGTATGCAATACATAGTACAGACTACAATACGTAACGTATAATATACATATATATATATATATATATAGGCACTATAACTATTATACATGCCATGTCCTCAAGCCCAAGGCCTGGCTTCAGCAAGCGCATTCTGATGAACTTTGTGTGGGCCTCGCCGTCTCCCGCAACCGCATTTGCAGGCCTTTGCGGCTGCCATGGTCCTTGACGACAGCAGCAAGAGCAGAATCTTGAAGTTCAAGGTCATGACCGCAGTCAAGGTAAGTACCAACCCGGCGAAGGGCAATCCCAGGATGACAAGGTAGGACCAAGCCAACAATCCCACGGCGAAGCTGCGACGGACATCTGGAGAATTCCACGAGCCCACCAGTGAGCCCTGGACAGCCCAGGGCCAGCCCCAGTCAAAGAAGCCTTGCTCGTTATGGGTGGTCGATGCAGCTGCCAAACTATCACGGTAGGCCCTGGTGGTCAGATCTTGGGACCCCGGCCGTTCCCATAGCATGCGGACAATCTGCACCTGACCTGCTCCCAAGGCTGCTCGAAGAGCACCGTTTCTGTCTCCACCAGCCTCCAGCAACAAGCTTACACTCCTTCTGTGGCCTTGCTTGGCGGCAGCCTGGATGGGTGTGAGGCGCTCGTTGAAGAAGTCCACGGCCAAGTTCGGATCGTGCCGATTTTGCAACATGTGCCCCACCAAGTAGCCAGAGTACACTGATCTTATGAATCTGTCTGCATCCCTCTCGGACGTGGTGATAAACGGAAGCACCACCAGCTGCAGGTCTAGATTCGAGCCAAGCAGTTTGTAGTCATCCAAGATCACATTTCCATGCAAGACTCTTTGCCGGAAACGTGGGACCCCAAGAAGTAGCTGCAAATGCTGCTTTAGATGATGCACACGGCTCAGATTCTCTGAGATGGCAACAATGGCCGCTTCCTCCCCTGACAGCCTCCAAACACGCACTTTCTTCCCAGTCCCTGTCGCAGCCGGCATGGCGGCACAAGATGCAGCCCAAACAGCGCTACCAAAAGCCACAATATTTGAACCCTAGTCTGCGGAGAAAAGCGAAGATGGCTACGGTAATTGGATTGCACCGACTGGGTCAATAGCCCAGCATGCAATTAATTCAAGTCCCCGCAGCACGGGGCAAATTCTAGGAGGATCCCTACTATGATTTAAGGAATACTCCCTAACGGTGGGATCTTGGAGTCTCTGGGAACCCACCCTACGAGATGACAAGCTGTATTAGAAATACCGCAAACCCGAAACCCTAAACCCTAAACTGTAAACCGACAACCCCCATGCACTTGAGGGTTGAGGGTGTAGGGTTTCCCAGGTGTCCAGTATCACAGGGCAACTCAAGGCCTACCTTTGGGAGGAATAATGCAGACCACCAAAATGGGGTAAAGGTTACCTGCTCTACTGCTAGGGTTTAAGGGCTTAGATGGGGGGGGGGGCTCCGAAAAAGGGGACCCTAATACCTAGTACCGTAAAAAGTAGGATCCCTATTATAGGGATGCCAAAAATGAGGTACCCCTGTTTTCGGAAACCCCCCCATATTCACCGCAACGTGCGACAAGAAGCCTGCACACTGCACCCCAAACCCTAAACCACCAAACCGAAAACCCTAAATCTAAACCCTAAGCACCATACCACAAACCCCAAACCCCCGACTAAACCATGCTAAGGCTTCCTTCAAGGCTTCCTTGAATGGCTCCTCTAAGTCTTTCTCAAAAATTCGATTCAGGGTTTCTTTAGGGCTTCCTTTTATGGAGGATACTTACCCAAACAATAAGAGATCATAAGTGGAATTCCCACTACAGAGACCCTACTTTGTTCTATTTAAATACTTAAGGACCCTGTTGGGATGCAATGGCAGCCAAGCCATCGATCAAAGATCCCCCAGATCACCCAAATACCCTAAACCCCAAACCCTAAAGTTTAGTTTTTTGGGGTTTAGGGTTTAGGGCCTAGTTTTGGGGTTTAGGTTTTTGGGGTTCAGGGTTTAGGGCTTTCTCAAAACCCGAAATCAAGCAAGTAGCTGCCAAGTCAGCAGCGCCCTGCAGGAGGAAAGGCGAGCTTCGGAGAGCAGCGCCCTCAGGCCCTCTTGACCTCTTTGGGACTAAGGGTTTAAAGTAAAAGCCAGAAAGTTGGAATACGATTATCCTAAACCCTTTATGGTAAGTTATAGGGTATCCTACCCTGAAACCATATTCCAACTTTCTGGAGTTCCCTTTAAGGATTTTGGGGGCTTAGGGTTAGGGTTTTGGGGGTTTTAGGGCTTTAGGACTTCAGGCTTTCTGGGCCGGGTTCCTGGCTTTTCGGGGTTTGGGGCATTTTGGTTTACGGCCTGTTTTTTGGGGGTTTAGGGTTTAGGGCTGGGTTGAAGGTTTGGGTTGAAGGTTTGCTTTGGGGCTTAGAGTTTAGGGCTTAGGGTGTGACTTCGGGTTTATGTGTTTTTCGTGGTAGGGTTTAAGGACGTATGGGATGTAGGTCTTGTGCTCGAAACGTTGCACTGGATTAAGGTTCTTTAGAGCGCATGTTATGGCCACAAAGGAGCCATGTAGTGGACGTCGGGCTCAAAAAAACTCTAATCACGGCTCCTTCAATGGCTTGCTTTCGGGCTTAGGGTGTTCGGGCCCAGATGGGTGCAATTCAGGTTCTTGAAATGAAGCTTTCAAGGATTTGTCTTGGGTGTTGGGCTTCGGAGCTGCATGAGCATTTCTCCAAGCAGGTGACCGCCCAAAAACCCGAACGTTGCAGAGGTTTACGGGCTTGCTGCAGTAATCATGTTTTTAGCTTCCCCCCCAAACCCCAAGCCTAAACCCTAAGCCCTAAACCCGAGAATAATAAACCCTGAATCCTGAACCGTAAATGCGGCGCCTGACACCAAGCTTCTCAGCTTCCAGGTGCTGAGGCTCTGGTCAAAGTCGACTGCACCCCGGAAGGCACCCGAGAGCTTCGAGACAGACGAGACGTTCCTAGGTTGCTACAAGCTTCTACCCAGAGAGCCCAATACCCCTTGGTAAAGCAATCTACGTTAAGTTATAAGAGGCTTCATATCGTGATTTAAGCTATATTCCTTAATTAAGGTTATGCCTCAAGTTATAAGAGGCTTCATATCATGATTTAAACCATATTCCTTATTTAAGGGGTATTCTTGGTAAACCGTGCTTAGAGAATCCTGGGACTTAGTAAGTAAGGTTGTAAGTACCTTCATTGGAGGTCGATCCAACTATAACTATGCTGACCTTATGTATAACCCTAGTTATCAAGTCCCATGATCCCAGACCTTCCAAAATCCCTTAATTAAGGAATATACGTTAAGTTATAATAGGATCCCAAATATGAATTAAGGTATATTCCTTAATTAAGGGATTCTGGAAGGTCTGGGATCCTCTAAGTCATAAAAGCCGAAACGCTCTTTTGGGATGTCTTGGCTGGGTGTGCGCAGTTGTGAGGCTTGCGGGGTTTCGGGCTGTGGGCGGGTCTTGAAGGTAATCTGGTTTTGTTCACTGCTGAGTCTTTGGTCTTGGCTTCCGGTTAGTGCAACACCTATGTCGCTACGTCACTGCATGTCATGTGGGAGCTTGAGACAGTAGAAAACCCTTACATAAGCCTTGAATGTTATCTATCTATATATATATATATATAGGTAGGTATATATATATATATATATATATATATATATATATATATATATATATATATATATATATATATGTATTTACATGTGTATATATATATATATATATATATACATACAGACAGGTCTACTTATGTATCTATTCAGGTTTTTGATGCTCAGCATAAGGACCCCCAACTCAACCCTGCAAATCCTACAGCCCTAAAAACCTGAACCCTACAACCCAAAAAGATGAAAATTAGAGTATACGAGGCCGAGCCCAGCATTCATAGAATCTATGTGAGTGTCCCAATTAGGGTTCAGGGTTTGGGTTTTCGCGCACAGGACTTAGGGCTCGCCAAATCAGGAGAGCTTCCAACTAGCCAGTGGCTGGTTGAAAGCCTCTGCTCTGTAGAACATGTTGATCATGTCCTGGAGATGGTCTAGGGCTTGTTGCAAGGGCTTAACACGAGGAGGGTGAGTTTTGGAGCATGTCATTTTATGCTGTTCTAAGTAAGAGTGAGGAGCCTCAAAAAAACAACATAATCAGCCAAAGCCCTAAACCCTTGAACCCTAAACCCACAGAAGTCATGTAGGGAATCGTTCGGATCTTCGGATTTGGGCTGGAGATTGCTCGATATTGCTCGAATCTACTGGCATTGGTTTAGGGTTTAGGGTCTTGCTTTGTTTAAGGGCTCTTTTCCGTCTGCACGTGGGTACGACCTGCGGAAGCCTACTTGAGGCCAGTTTAGAGTCTGGCATTTTGGGTTCAGGGGAGGGTACGAAGTATGACTCGTGGGGAATCAGAGCTCACTTTAGGGCTGGGTGCGGGTATTACAGCGGGGCAGGGCTTAGGACACAAACTTGTGGTTGAAGAACAGCTCCTTGACTGACGCAGTGTCCCACTGGCTGAGAGGTTGGTTGAAAGAGGTCGCGTATTGGAACATACCATGCATGTCCTCCACCGCAGAGGTATCCCATGTGCCTATGCGACGTTGAAAAGCTTTCGCCATCTTGAACATATAGCTCATGTCGCGCACAGACGTGGTGTTCCATCGGCGAAGTGGCTGGTTGAAGGCAGCTGCGTGAGAAAACATGTTGCTCATGTCGGCGACTGCGGAGGTGTCCCAAGAATTTATGGACTGGTTGAAGGAACTGGCATAGGAGAACATCCCGCTCATGTCAAAGACAGACGATGTATCCCAGGAGTCTATATTCCTAGTTCATGGTTGGGATAGGATTAAATATTTAAGGCTCTATTCCTTATTGGGTTTAACTACCCATAAAAATGTAAAATGTTGCCCAACTATGACAAAGTTTCTGGTCGAACTGCCTTGCAAAGGCGAACATGTCATTCATCCGCTTGACTGATGATGTGATCCATTTCTGCCTTGGGGCCAAATGACCCTCAAAATAAAGAGCCCTATACACCCTTATACTATGAATCCATATGGTATATCAACCTCAACCCCTTTTACGGTTAATTCTCAAGCTCAAGGTGCAGTGGACGATTGAAGGAGCTTGCGCCGCAGAAAAGACAGCTCATGTCTCGCACCGCGGAGGTGTTCCAGTTGTTCAGGGGAGAGTTGAAACCACGGGCATTCGCGAACATGTGGCTCCTTTGGATGAGAAGTTGGCATCAAGAACACTGAAACATCAACATCCCAAACCCAGAAATCCTGAAACCCTAAACCCGAAACACTACAGAAGTCGCCCTGCAAGCCCTAACCTAAACCCCAAAGCGCGATCTGCCCCCTGCCCTGGAAGTCCCCCCAACAAGTATACCAAGGTACATGTTGATCACGCGCCGGGTGTCCCACTTCTCGAGGGGCCGGTTGAAACTGGTCGCCCCGGCGAACATAAAGCCTCGGTCGCAATCTACTGGCCTTAATCATGAGGACAAGGCAAGGAACGTCAGAAACTTCCCAAACCCACAGGGTCCAAAGTACCTATATAGTCGAATGTAGAATTTCTATGTTACGAAATACTGCTATCACTTGGGGGGATACCCCACAACAAAACCTAGGACCCTTTGGGAAAGTGCCGGCAAGGCGCTCATATCTCGCACCAAAGAGGTGTTCCAGGAGTTTAGGTCTTCGCTGAAAGTGCGCCAGTCTCGGAAGAGTCCTGAGGAATCCGAAACCCTCCAAGTCCCGTTACCTAAACATTCCGGGCAAAGATCTGGATGTATGTATACAAGCATATTATATATATGTATATATATATACATATTATATATATATATACACACAGATACAGATATGCAGATATACATACTGATCTGTATATGTGTGTGAGTGCTCATATATATGTATATATACATGGATATAACTGTATACTATATATATATATTATATATATATATATG